TGCTGTATGCATAGCTGGAGAATTATTTGCAAACAGATGGGAACTATCTGCATGTTCAAGTCTGAAGGCCACAATCTGCATTTGGCTATGCTCAGAAGTTGGGCTGTAGATCTACAGTGGAGGGCAGAAGCTGACCCTCAAGGTCTGTTGTTTAACCCAGCTGCCACTAGAATATTTATCTCACTGTTGTAAAGAGCAGATCTTATCAAAGCGCTGGTTATTTTCATCTTTGCTTTAGTAACCAAGATAAGAGAGTAGTAATTTACTTTCTTCTCATATTTACTCTAACTGTTGGAATGTAACCTCTTCTCCCACAGGTTTTTGTCTTTTCAAACACTGGAAGAGAAATTTTGTAACTTAGAAAAATATTTTACTTGGGGTCATTAATCACTGTTCTGTCATGCACTTGATTTTTATTTGTGGTCTTTTCAACAAGAGGATTTGAAGGATGACCTGTGCTGTCTGTCTCCTGTTAGACTTATCCTCACTGAACCATCGTACCGATAGCCTCAGCATTAGTATGTCATCTTTGTCCCCTCAATAAATCTTCCCTAAGACAGGTGACGCAAAACTGTTGTTAATGTTGGAGGAATTTGGAATATGCTTTGGGAACTGAGGAGAACAGAGCCTAGCCATGACTGTTTTCCATGCTGGATGTTTTTGTACTCTCTCTTTAAATAGGGTTAGGCTTCCAAATGCTGATAAATATAACTCTCTGATTTTTCCCCATTTTTTAATTGGAGGACTAAAAGCAGTGGGCTTTTCTTTTCTTTATTCTTTTTTTTTTTTTTAAGTAATTCAGTAATGGATATAACTCTTGCTTCTTAGAAAGATGTTACAAATGCTGTATACTTGCTTCCTGAAGATGATATTGAGTATATATAAATTATACTGGCTTAGCAGAGTGAGGCTTGCAAAGCAGGCTGACCATTGACTATGTTTTATAATTATATTTTGAGCAGTATATTAATGGACGTGATAAGAATTTCACAAAATAAATCCCTTTTTAATGCTGAGAAGAGGGGAGATGCTTAAAGGAGAAGGGAATTGATAGCCTTTCTCTTTACAGGATTCTTTTCTCCTCTTAGTGCATGTAACTCCCTATTAGGAATCATGGGATTAGTGCATGTACATCAAGGGGAGAATAATCAACTTTTCATATTTTCTTATCATAAATTATTGGTCATGCTTTCTTTTTGAAAATATAATAAAAGCATCATCAAGTACTTAAATTTTGCTCTTTTAAAGAGACATATCAGTAACCACTTGGAAGATTGAAATATACAGGAATGCACAAACCAGTACAAAACCAACACAAATCTCTTCGTTTTGAATTTTATCTCCTCAAATAGGGGTTTTTATACATGCGTGCGCACACACACGTACACAAATTATGTATAAATTAAAATGACTGGAAATAGCTAAAGTTAATGTCACTAATGAAGATTAGCAGGTGGCTTGGATTGGAAAAGTTGAGCATAGATTTTATATCTTATTTTCTTCTGGTTTAATAGAACATAGCTTGTATATTTGACTACCAAGCCCTTTAAGAGCAATAATAAACAAAAATATATCATGTTTTTTGTCTTTTGCTTTTCAACCATGCTAGGTTCAATAAACTTTAAAGCTATAGGAGCATTTTCGCTCTCCACCTTCCCAAATTTTCATTTACCACTTGATTGTTTAGACTAAATGCCATGTTCTCCAGTATGGACTTGCAAGCGGACTGCCATGGAGTTCAGCACTGGCTCCGAAGATGAATGGTTCTCCTACTGACACAGACAGATGCTAAGCCCTTGGCCTTGGCAGCGCTTGTCATTGTCACAAAGAACAATGACGTTGCTCTCAAAGTGGGATTTGCAGTTCCAAGGCAGCAGCATCCTGTTGACCTACATCTAAGAACCCAGTGCGAGAGCTTGGAGATGGCTGGCATTGTGGCATCTCTCAGTTGGGAAGGCACAAAAAGCTGATGCCAGAGAAGGACCAGATAACTGGTGTCTGGAGGTCTTGGCTTGGTAGGGATTACAGTTCTCTGTTGCTTATTGCGGGCTGAGTGTACTTTTGCAATTGACTTTGCGTCACTGAGAAAAATACCTGTCTCTGGCACGAAGAGTATGGGCAACGTTCTTTTGTTCTGCTTTAACTTATCTTGAAGGGCTCTGCACTTAATTGCTGACCAATGAATACGACTACTACCTTTGTCCTAACTGCCTAGTATTCACAGGAAAAGTGAGCGTGTCTGCTCACTTCCATGTGATATGATACCACTTGTCTTCATCTACTGATGTCTGTATATTTACTTGCCTGTATCTCCTGCAGATGGCTCGGTTATGACCTCTTAGGTGGAACTTGGACCTTTTCAGTTCAACCAGTCCTAAAGAAATGGTCTCGCGTAGCTGGGGTTTTCTCTTCCTGCATTTTGGCACTGGTTGACACGCTCAGTAGGTCAGAAGTGACACAGTTGTGTTTAAGTTGTGTTAAGCGATAATGCAAGTTTGCTGCTTCAGAGCAAAACTTTTACCAGGGAGGAGAAGTCCTTCCCAGGCCTACTCATGTAGGCCATCACTCCCTGGTAACAGGTCCCTCTGGCACTGGTGAAAGCAATAGAGGGAGCTAGGACAAGGTCCTCCCTACCAGTTGGAGTAACTAGCAAGCGGGAGTCACTGTACATCTGCTAATTGCTGAAGGTACAGTTTCTGTCTGGGACTACCCCAAAATCTGGTTTTGCTTCATGTACGTTGTGACTGAAGAGATGTGGGGCTGGAGGCTTTTAATAACGCTGAGTTCATGCTACGCTGAGTGCTTGAGGTTGAAGACAGATAATATTCACATATTTTGGCATCTTGGAGAAGTATGTATTGTGAAGTCTCGGGCCAAGATTGGACAGACCTAGCCCGAGCGTGTTTCATTCAGAGGAGTGCAATGCAGATAAAAGTGAAAAGCCCACTCCTAGATTTCCTTTGAAAATTGGATACACTGGTGTAGCTCGCAGCCGTGTCCTGGATGCTCATGGGCTTACCTCACTTGGTGTAAAGTTTCTGGTTCACAGTAGATGATTACTACACGCTCTGCTTTATGCCTGTGGAAAGAAGCCCATCCCTGTAATGGTAATGCTGAATTTGTAGTTCGACCCAGTTTGTCACAGCTGCTCATTTCCATATTTCTGAATGTCTTGATCTGTAATGGGCTGCTCCAGAGCTGCCAAAGCTGAGTGAAGCCAGAGTTTGGAACAGGTAGCAGTCACGCTGAGAGCTGCAACGTGCGTCGCTGGAAGGAGGAGAAACACCAACAGATCTGGCCAAATTCTTGCCCTGAGAAAATGGCTCGATGGCCAGGAGCCTTGCAAACTGGAGATAAGCGTGCACGTGGGCAGGCAAACTCTGACTCTAATACGAACATGCAACCTCCCTGCGACAACTGGCAAAGTCACCCTTGCCGTGTCCACATGACTGGGGTTTGTCTTGAAGGGCTTATCTCCTCGCTACAGGTGGCAACCCTTACTCTGCCACGCTTCCCCCTGTTTATCTTGAAGAGCAGTTTATCTGTTTGTCTCAGCAGTCTCTGCATCAAGATCCCTGCAGATTGTTGATTGGGGGTTTTGGGGGGGGGGGGGTTCTTTTTTCCCTGCCACGGTTTTGAGGGAAAACTTCCTGGAAGTCAATGTTACAGTATCTGCACCACATTTGGTAGCCACTAGAAAATGTCATGAAAGTATTTCACGCTTTGGA